ATGGTCTCCACGGGCAAGGCACTGTAAACATAGCACTTCCTCAGTTCTTCAGGTGCAAGCTTAGTCAGCGTGGTCTTCGTCGGTGCATCTCGGATTTCGAGCAAGTTTGCAACGAAGCTCACGACCAGGCAGGTCTAGCGATCAATGTGGCTGGTAAGAATTACCTATTGTTTCAAGGCTGCGATCTTCTTCGAAAGCACATTGAAGATCTGAAGCTGAAGGTACACGGCGACCTGACCCGACACGGAGAGATTAAGGCCACCCTCGCGCGCCGTGCCAAACAGTCCTAGGCTCAGACCAGTCCTGAGCAGTACGACGGCTACTGGGTCGACTTCGGACGAAGATTACAAGGATTGTGACGACGAGGGCTGGTACGACAAGTACGGCTACCAGTACAACTACGACGAAGACTCGTATGAAAATGATGACCAGTTTTGGGACGACGAGAGCTACGAGCAGGATGTCCCCGGTGAGACATACAAAGGCAGCCGCAAGAATAACCTGGGCAATTGCAGCAAGTGTGGTTCCGAATGCCACCACACGGCAGATTGCCCCGCCGGTACCAAAGACGATCACAAGCAGCCAGGCCGCAGCGGCAAAGGTAAAAGACAGTACGACCACCGTGGCAAAAGCAAAGGGAAGTACGACAACCACGGCAAGAGCAAAGGATTTTGTAAGTATTCCGGTCGTCGCAAAGGACGAGGCAAAGGCAGGACATTGAAAACGCAGCAGCAAACGGAAGGAAGAGAGACCGTGACAATGGAATCATGGAAGTGTGATCGTGCCGAAGCTCTGTCCAAGTAAGTGGCACACCCGCGCTTTCAGAAGCTCTCATAACCGGGACACTGGCACCAGAGCTGAGTCATCAGTGGGTCACCCTCAGCTCTGCATCTGCTCTTACAGTCGCAGAAGCAAGCAGTGACAGAGACGGAAGGTGAGTATCCGATCTCAGACGGGCTCGAGGAGAGAGATCTCTCACAGCTCCGCTGGACAGGGGAGGGTCAGGCGCGAGAGGCGGGAGGGCGGCGGAGCGTGGGGGGAACAAGGAACACACGCAGGGACGCGGGCAGGCGAAGAGGCAGGGGCAGGCAGGAGCCGACCAGACGTGCGAGTGAGCTTTCGCCGGAATGACCTCTGGTTCGGCGGCGAGCGAGGGGGGACGTGAGAAGGAGAAGGCCCTCTCAGAAGGCCGCGGGACTTCGCAGGCGCCCTCGCGCCGCGTGAGAAGTTTCATTTGTTTTCGGGGAAAGCTTAGAACACTTCTCATAAGGCCGGGGGACTTCCGAGCCTTCTGAGAAGCCATTCTATTTCTCACTCCCCCCCTGGGTTCGCCGCCGATCTCGTGCGGGCCAAATGGGCTCCCCCGATCGCCGAACGCGAAGCGGTAGCAGCGGCTTGCGCGCCCAGGTTTGGCCACCTCGCGTCCCCCCGTTGAGACGCGCACCAAAGGTCATTCCATGACTTGTTTCCTAGACCCAGCGCTGGTCTGCAGCGCGCAGCGTGCTGCTAGCAACGGCCCCCTGTGGGGCCTCTGAGACAAATCGCTGCGGAGGTGGGGAAGCGTTGCTGGAAACCCGTCGTTCCCGCCTGCGCTAAACTGTGTACGCAAACTTCTCGCCAGAAACGGAAGTCAGACCGATCTTCACATGATGCTCGGATTGATCACGCGTGCATCCCAAGGATCACCGCCCACCAATCCACCCCAACCCAACCCGAAGGCGCCGATGTGCCCAACCGTTCCAGTGGGGCAGGGGGGGGGAAACCTCGACAAAACACACACATATATATATAAAAAAAAAAAAAAAAAAAAAAAAAAAAAAAAAAAAAAAAAACGCATTCCCCCCTCCCCTCCCCCCCAAACCCGAAAGCCGGGTCTTCGGGTGGCGTTGGGGTGGTCTGGTAGGCAGTCCACGGAGCACCCGCACCCGCCGGCGGGCCCGAGGCGCCCGCCGCAGCGCCCGCGGCGCTGCCCGGCGCGCCGCGCGCCGCACCCCGCGGCGCCCGCGGCATCGCCGCGGCGCGCCCGCCGCGCGCGCGCCGTTCTCGGCGGGGGCGCGGCGGCCCGGCTCGGCGGCCTGCGGTGGGCTGTGGTCACGCCTGGGGTGCCTGGCATCGCTCGGACGTGTGCGTTTTTTTTCTCGGCGAGGCCTCAGTATCGGAATGCGCTCGTGGCCGCTCTTCCGATGAAAGGGGCGGGCCTGCGACGACTTGCACTACTGCGTCTTGCGCAGGCGTGACGGCCACCCGAGCAGGTATGGCAATGTTGATTTCTAGAGGGGTAGGGGTGGGGGGGATACAAATTTCGATCATATGATGTTCCAGCCTACTCTCGGGGGCGGCAAAGAGGGGGGTGGTGACTAGGGGGGGGGAATATCATGGCGGGGGCCATGATGTTTCCCCAGATGTCATGGCGCCTCTTCTTGCTTCCTTACGTCCCTGGCCCCCCCCGCTGGGCCGCGCACATGCCGCCGGTCATGATTCGCATCCCCCCCTCTTTGACGCCCCCCTCTTTGCCGCTCCCGATACTTTCGCCTCGACCACCAGGAAGAATTTCGAGCACCAAATGAGTACCGAAACTGCAGGGTTTTCACGTGTCGGGCCCCGGGAGGCGATACTCGTTCGACACGGTTTCGATACTTTTCTGGGTGCTCGAAGTCATTTTCGGGATGCGGTCTTGAAGTACGATGGGAGCAACATAAGGCGAGGCCCATTCTAGGCCTCCCAGACGGGGTCGGAGGATCCCGCCGCATCGTCGAGGCATCGACGATGCGGCTCGATGTGGAGCCCGTGATCCCCCCACGCCAACGGCGCCGATGCATCGCCGACGTCGCCGATCATCGCAGATGCATCGCAGATGCATCGCAGATGCATCGCAGATGCATCGGCGATGCGGCGCGATCCTCCGACCCCACCTACTTGGACCCCATCTATGAGGCCTCTACCCATCGAGGAGCATCCTGGATCATCTGGCAAAAAAGGACGCGCGACATCGACAAATGCACGGGGAATCGGCATCCGAGCGATGGCAAGGGTGCGGTTTGCGATCGGCGCCGCTGGGACTTTCAGGTTAGCGTGTCGCGACGCCGGTTCTGGCGCACCACGCTTCGGCGCGACACGCCGTCCACTTCCAGGTCCAAACGCGTTAGCGTCCCGATAGCCTTTTCGAGCCTCCCACCCCGCAGAGCGAAGCAACACGCCATCCGCTGGCAAGGCACAGCGTGTCGCCTGGGCCGCCTCTGCGACACGCTAAACGCAAGAGTTTCGGACCATCGGGTTAAGTCGGGCATGTCCCTCTACAGGAGGAAAATTCAAAAGTAGTTAGAAAAACAGTCAGGGGGCGACTTTCTCTAACATGTTTGATCATTTTCGAGCATTTTCTAACTATTGTTTATTGTTCCTCTAAAATCCGCCTGTAAGAGGACATGCCCGACCTTACCATAGGGGGCCATCACGTTGCGCCAAAGGTTTGATGAGCCCACGCTGGGGCGCGGCAGAGATCGCTGCCGAGCTCCTCGCCCGCCCCCCAGGCGCGGGTTGCAAGCCCGTGCAGACCACACCCCTCGGAGTCGCCGACTGGGGCGCGTCCACCCCTCTGCTTGGCATCGCTCGGGCGTGTGCAGCTTTCTCGGAGAGGCCGGCGCCAGAAAATGCGGGCCATTCAATGGGGGCACCTTGGGCCGCCTTGCGAGCAGCGCGCGCGCAACCGTAACCACACAATGCCGGGAGACTGGCAGTCCGAGCGATGTCAAAAGTCTGCCGGGGAAACGTACGGCTCGAGGGCGCCTGAGCTCGGGCCTGCCGCTGTGTTTTCCTCGCGGCAGGCCCGCCCTGCATTCTGACGGCCCAGTCCTCGTGGGGCGCTTGCGGCGTGAGCCCGCGCCAAGAGACCGTCTCTCTTCCCTGGCGATAGCGGGCGTGACTCAGGGGGGGGGGACCGGCGCCGTCTGGCGATTGCGAAGGCCTTACGGCCGGTGCCGCCGACCCTGAATGGCGACGACGACGACGACGACGACGACGACGACGACGACGACGACCGCTCTTGGGGGCCTCTTGGGGGTAGTTTGTGGGCCTCTTGGGAAGTTCTTAGGGGCCGCTTGGAAGCCTCGTGGGGGCCTCTTGGGGCTTCCTGGGGGTCTCTTGGAGGGGGCCTGGGACGTCTTGGAGGCTTCTTGGACGGTCTTGGGGCTATCTTGGGCGTTTTCGGCCGATCTTTGGGCGACTCGGGGCCCTCTTGGGCCGTCTCGGGGGCCATCTTGGGCATTCGGACCTCATTTGGAGTGTTTTCGAGGTTTCTAGGCCGCCCGAGGAAAAACGAATCTGCCCCCCCACCCCCCCCCGGGACCCCCCCGGGACCCCCCCCCCCCCCCCGGACCCCCCCCCCCTGGGGAAGGGATCAAAGGGAAGGGGCTTCCCTTCGACTCGATTACGACACTGCTAGATTTTTCTCTCGCTCACGAGCTTGAGAAGGAAGCTGCAGGGAAAGGGGACGACGGAGGCGACGACCGACGGAGACGACGACTCGAACAGCCAAGCCCCTCGCACACGCCGACAGGGTCGGCGGATTTACGACTGGCTAATTTCCAGACGGCGCCGGCGCGAATCGTGACGTGGCCAGGGAGAGCTGGGGGGGGGGTCGGGGCCGGTCACGGGCGGCCTTGCGAGCGATGATGAGCACGGGCGCCAGACATCAGACTGGATGTCGTTTCGCTGGCGGCCGCGTCAGGCCAGCTCGAGGCGCCCGAACCCGAGCCTTACGACTCCCCCCTGGACCCCCGACGTTGCGATTTCTCCACAGCGTCGAGCCCCAGAGGTCTGGACCCCTTCCCCGAGGCTGGTCTTTCGTCCTGCTTGGTGTTTTGGCGGTCTGGGGGCCCAGTAAGGGCCACCGGAGGCCGAAAACAGTGAAAAAAAGCCGTCGTGATTTTGGTTTGCACGATGCGGGGGGGTCTGGAAGTCTGGACCCCCTCCCCGAGACCGGTCTTTCGTCCTGAGTCGTGTTTTGTCGACCTCTAGGCCCCGTGAAGGGCTTCTGGAGGCCGAAGGTAGTGGAAAGCTTCCCGTCGGCCGTCGTGGTGGTTCCGAGGAGGAGGAGGAGGAGGAGGAGGAGGAGCAGGAGGAGGAGCAGGAGGAGGAGGAGGAGGAGGGAGGATAGGAGGAGGAGGCAAGGAGGAGGAGGAGGAGGAGGAGGAGGAGGAGGAGGAGGAGGAGAAGGAGGAGCCATGCGAGGGGGCTTGGGAGGCTTGCGACCTCCAGGGCTTGCTGCGCGGGCCGCGGTCTGCTGTGCCCCAGGGTCGGCGGCGAGCCCAGGGAGAGAGAGAAGCGGCAGGCCTTAAGTCGGGCCTGTCCCTCTACAGGGGGAAGATTCAAAAATAGTTGAAAAATGGCCTGGGGACCTCTTTTTTTACCATGTTTGAGCATTTTTTGAGCATGTTCGGGATATGTCTCACTTTTCATCCAAAATCGGCCTGTAGGGGGACATGCCCGACCTGATGGCAGGCCTTCTCAGAAAGCTCGGAAGGCCCTTGGGCCTTCTGAGAAGTCCCCTGAGCCGTCCCCGAAGGCAAACAGAAAAAGCTCCCTCTCAAGAGGCAGGAGGCCTTCTGAGGAGCCCCGCCGCCCTCTGAGCAGGCCTTCTCCTTCCCGTGTCCCTCCCTCGCTCGCCGCCGACGGGGCCAAGTCGGGAATGTCCCTCTGCGGGAGGAATGCTCACGGATGGTCACAAAAATAGTTTGGGGGCCCCATCGGCGATGAATTGGCGCTTTGGGTCCCTCTACAGGAGGAATGCTCACGGATGGTCAAGAATAGTCTGGGGGCCCCATCGGCGATGAACCGGCGATCTGGGATCGATGCAGATCAGGAGGGAAAAAAACACAGACACAATTCATCGTCGATTCCCAGGAAAATGTGGGAGAATATGGGAAGTGGGGGGGAAGACGAAAGCCCAGAAGATGTGAGAAGATATGGGGGATCCTTTTATTTGTGTGTACTTAGTTGTATGTCCCAGGGCCCCTCCTCCTCCTCCTCCTCCTCCTGCTCCTCCTCCTCCTCCTCCTCCTCCTCCTCCTCCTCCTCCTCCTCCTCCTCCTGGGATCGATGTAGAGATCCCCCCCGTTGTGCCCCTCACCACCCCCTGGCGTTGCCCCTGGCCTCCTCGCTCCCGGCTCGGCTCTTCGGCGGCCGTGTAGCGGGACGCTCCGGGCACCCGCAGGGGCAACGCTCTCGGCGAGGCGCAGCTGCCGGAGAGCACCCCGAGGCCGACGGGCACGCCCGAGGCCTCGCGGGCGAAGAGCAAACGCGCCGGTCGGTCATTGAAGGCGTCGCGCCCGAGCGTGTTCCCCAGCCCCTTTCCCCCCTCGGGCCTCTGTCCTGGCAGGGGCTGGCCTCTCGCGGGCCCCTCGCCCCATCCAGAGGCCGCTCCCGCGGCGCATCTGCCGTCCTGGTCAGGCCTCCCCTGGTGCCCAGCGCAGGGGGACAGCGGGAAGAACAACTGCATAAACGCTGGTCGTTGAAGGTAGGTAGTTTTGGATTCCCAGATCCCAATCTACTTCAAGCGCCTTCCTACTTCAAGAATCGGCACGCTTTTGCTGTGTTCTGTTATTCTCTGGGGGGGCCTGGACCCAATCAACTTAATCCGCCCTCCTACTTCATGCTTTCACCTACTTCTTCCGACCGACGTGTATCCGTATCCGCGGCCTCGCGGACCGGGCCCTTGCTTTGACTCTCCAGGAGGGCTGAAAAATAGCACCAAGATCTCGAATCTCAATTCCAGTCTAGGCTTCGAGCAGACCAGATAGGCCATTAGCTCTCAAGTGAGATTCGTCAGCACTCTGGGAGGTCAGGGTGGCCGCGGCGTCGCGGACACGGGGCTTTCTCTTCGAGGATGCCCCGCGCGGAACGCAGCCGTGCGACCGCGTATCCGCGGGATCGCGCCCCGGAATCCAGACCCCGAGGGCGCGGATACGGATCTGCTCGCCGCTGATGATCGGCGGGTGCCGGGGACGAGGACTGCGGGCAGACCGTCCGGCCGGACACCTCCTGCTCCTCCTCCACGTCCTCCTCCTCCACGTCCTCCTCCTCCTCCTCCTCCTCCTCCTCCTCCTCCTCCTCCTCCTCCTCCACCTCCTCCTCCTGCTCCTCCACCTCCTCCTCCTCCTCCTCCTCCTAAAATCGACGCTAAATCGACGCTGACACCGCAGGCGTCGGTTCGGCCGCGCCCGCTGCGCACCGCCCCCCGCGCGCCAGGCCGCCACGGCCGCCGCCGCCCCGCGCTGGCGCGGGGCGCCCCGCGCCCGCGCGCCTGCGCGGCGCGGGGCGCGGCCGCGGCGCGGGCGGCCACCGCAGGCGCCCCCCCCGCGGGGGGGGCTCGCGGCCGCGGCGGTGGCCGGCGGAGGGCGCCCGGCCAGGGCTCCTCTCGATGCCGCCGAGTCGATGCGATTCGATCTCTTCCGCTTCCGAGTCGACTCCGGATGCCGACTTGGCTTCCGGCGTCTTCTTGGACTGCATACCAGCCTGCCGATCTCCGCCGACCCGGCTTGTCCCGGCTCGGCTGCCGATTTCCGCCGATCAGAGTCGTGTCGATCGCCGATCCGACTTCTCGATCCGCTTCTGGGCCCTCCTGTATGGCGCGCAGGGCGCCTCCTCGCGGCGAGCAGCGACGGGCCCAGACCTCCGACGCTTAGTTGCCTCGATACACCCGCCTTGATACGCAATACGCCCCGTGTTCAAGACGTCCGTGTCAAATGTCTCGCGTCGGACCTACGTTATCAGCCTACGTGTCGAGCTCCGTATCAATGCGCTACGTGTTGCGTGTTGCGTGTCGGGGCAGCTAAGCTCCGACGAGGTCTTAGGCTCGAGGTTCGAGGCTGCCAGGGAGCCAGCGCACTGAGAAGAAACAAAGACGGAGGCTGTTCGCAGAATTTCGGCCTTCAGAGGCCCTCGCCGGGCCCAAAGACCGTCAACAAAAACGGCTCGGGATGAAAAGCCTTCAGAGGCCCTCGCCGGGCCCAGGGACCGTCAACCAAAACGGCTCGGGATGAAAAGCCGGTCCCGGGGAGTGGGTCGAGACATCTGGCCTCGGGGTGTTCTCCAACAGCTGCGCCTCGCCGAGGGCGCTCTGGGGGTGCCCGAGCTGTCCAAAACGGCCGCCGGAGAGCCGAGGTATAGGATCCGAAAACTCCGTGTCCCAGATCTGATGGGCAAATCTTCCACCACCGCCACCACGTGTAGGACGGGGGAGAAGGGAGTATGAGGAGGTCCTCCTCCTCATCATCATCATCCTCATCCTCATCCTCCTCCTCCTCTTCCTCCTCCTCCTCCTCCTCCCTCCTCCTCCTCCCTCCTCCTCCTCCTCCTCCTCATCCTCATCCTCCTCCTCCTCCTCCTCCTCCTCCTCCCTCCTCCTCCTCCTCCTCCTCCTCCTCCTCCTCCTCCTCCTCCTCCTCCTCCTCCTCCTCCTCCTCATCCTCCTCCTCCTCCTCCTCCTCCTCCTCCTCCTCCTCCTCCTCACTCTCCTGCCTGTGGTAGTGGTGGTGGGAAAGAGGGCCCATCTCGAGATCTCCGAAGCTCTGCTCCGTTCCGTCCGGGCGTTTTTTCGTTTCCCCCGAGCGCTCGGCCCTCGGGGGCCGTGGCCGGGCTCCCCACAGGGCCACTCGAGAGCGGATATATTCGGGGCGAAGAGCTGCAGTCGGCCAGCATGGGTAAGGTTAAGTCGGGCCTGTCCCCCTACAGGTGGATTTTCGACGAAAAGTAAAAATACCAACAAAAATAGTCAAAACATAGTCCAAAAAGAGTCTGGGTATTATTTTTCGATTATTGTTTAACCTCTTTGGAGTATGTTTGGGGTACTTTTTATTTTTCGTGGAAAATCCACCTGTAGGGGGACACGCCCGACATAAGGGTAAGGATGGGCAACCTTGCCAAGGGTACCCTTCGGGGGCGGCAAAGAGGGGGGTGATGACTAACTAGGGGGGGGGATATCATGGCGGGGGCCAGGATAGTTCCCCAGATTTCAGGGCGCCTCTTCTTGTTTCATTGCGTCCCTGGTCCCCCCGCTGGGCCGCGCACATGCCGCCGGTCATGATTTGCACCCCCCCCTCTTGGACACGCCCCTCTTGGCCGCTCCCGATGCCCTGGGTTTCTCAATAAATCGTGGGGGGGGTACCCCCCCCCGACGGGGGTCAACCTCGCCTCGTCGTCGCGCCGAGGCGGGGGTCGGAGCGCCTTCGGCGCGCGGTGGCTGCCTGCGGCGGGGGCCGATGTGGGGGGCTGTCGGCGGGGGTGACGCCCCCCCGACGCTTGTGCTGGGCACGCCGGTGCCCTCCGGGGCCGACGCCACCGTGCGCCGGGTGTTGCGGCGCCCCATCGCCTGCGGGAGGGGTTCGGGCGTCGCTTCCCTGGGGGGGCCCGTCGCTTCCAGTGCCCATCCTGGAGGTGGGAGTCAGGAGGCAACTGCTGGGAGGGGAGGTCTTCGTCGGAAGGAGTAAAGAGGGCGAAACCTACACGGGGGGATGCTGCGCCGAAGTCGGCCGCGGAAGAAGCGGGTGACGCCCCCCCGCCGAAGCGGTGAGTGCCCGTGCACCCTTCCCTCCCCCTCCTCCTGACCACAGGGGGTCCCCGGCACCGGACGACGCAGCCCCGTGCGCCAGACCAGCCCGATGCTCCGCGCCCCCGCGCGTGTCGGCACGCGCGGCGCGGCGACGTGCCTCGAGCTGGTCTGGTGTTATGTCGGCCCCCTACAGGGGGATTTTCGACGACAAATTAAAAATACCCCCAAAATTCCCGAATAAGGTCAGAAAATATTCAAAAAATAGTCCCCAGACTATTTTTAGACATTGTTTTGATTTTTTGGGGGCATATTTCCCTACCTAGGCTCTGCCTAGAAGGGTTCTTACTTTCTTAGCTTAAAGGGGACGGGCAGTGGAAACCGCCCCGGGCGGTTCCCCCAGGATCCGCCCCGCGGTTCCCCCAGTGACGTTCCCTTAGCTTCGCGTTGCTTATCTCATCTTAGCTTAGCTTATTCCCTACCTAGGCTCTGCCTAGAAGGGTTCTTACTTTATTAGCTTAAAGGGGACGGGCAGTGTTCCCCGCCCCGGGCGGTTCCCCCAGGATCCGCCCCGCGGTTCCCCCAGTGACGTTCCTTTTGCTTCGTGTTGCTTATCTCATCTTAGCTTAGCTCATTTCATCTTAGCTTAGCTTAGCTTCTTCTTAGCTCAGTTTTATCTTAGTTTAGCTTACCTTTATTCCCTACCTAGGCTCTGCCTAGAAGGGTTCTTACTGTATTAGCTTAAAGGGGCCGGGCAGTGTTCCCCGCCCCAGGCGGTTCCCCCAGGATCCGCCCCGCGGTTCCAACGGCATCCGCCCCGCGGTTCCCCCAGTTGCGCCCTTGCTTAGCTTAGCTTAGCTTTAGCTTATCTTAATTTAGCTTAGCCTAGCCTAGTTTTGCTTAGCTTAGCTCAGCTTAGCTCAGCTTAGCTTACCTCATCTTAGTTTAGCTTAGTCTAGCCTAGCTTAGCTTACCTTACCTGACCTTAGCTTACCTTAGCTTAGTTTAGCTCAGCTTATCTTAGCTTAGCGTTGTCGGTCTCATCTTAGCTTAGCTTAGCTTTTAGCCTTGCTTAGCCTAGCTTAGTTCAGCTTAGCTTAGCTTAGTTTATAGCATATTAGCCTAGCTGAGCTTAGCTTAACTTACCTTAACTTAGATTAGCTTAACTTAGCTTATCTCATATCAGTTTAGCTTAGCTTAGCTTAGCCTAGCCTAGCTTAGCTTAGCTTACCTTAGCTTAGCTTAGCTTAGCTTAGCTTATATCATCTTAGTTCGGCTGAGCTTAGCGTAGCTTGGTTATCTTAGTTTAGCCTAGCTTAGCGCAGCTTAGCTTAGCTTATGCTGCTTTCCTGGGGGCTCCAACTCTCAGGTAGGGTCGCAGTGGGATATGCTTTATTTCTCGTCGAAAATCCCCCCGGTAGGGGGACAGGCCCGACTTAAGTCCGGTGCACGGCTGGCGGGTGCACTGCGCCCCCCTCCTGGCCGAGAACAGCGCGGCGCAGCGGCCTCGGGGAGAGCGCCCGAGGCCGCGGCAGAGGGCCCCCACAGGGGGCCCTCGGAGAGCGCCCGGGCGCGCACGGCGCGCCCCGCGTCGGGAGCCTCGAGACGGGGGTCAATGCAAACGGGGGTCAGCCAGGGCGCCAGATCCTGCAGGATGCTGCGAAGACTCCCTCTGGCTGAGCCGGTTTAGGGAGCCGCTCGTGGCCGCGAGGCGGCCGCGCCTACTGGCTGACCCGGGTCTGCGAAGACCTCGGAGAGCGCCCGGGCGCGCACGGCGCGCCTCGCGTGAGCGCCGGAGCGGCGACGGAGAGCGCCACCGCCAGGCTTGAGTCGGGCCTGTCCCCCCTACAGGGGGGAGTTTCGACGAAGCACAAAGGAAGAATACCCCCCAAAAGAGTCCAAAAATATAATGGAAAAGTAGTCTGGGGACTATCTTTGGAATATGTCTTGGACTTTTTAGTGCATGTCTGGAGTATTTCAGATTTTTCGTTGAAGATCCCCCTGTAGGGGGGACACGCCCGACATAACGCCAAGTCGGCGGCGAGCGGGGAAGGGCAAGCGGGGAGGGGCAGGCCTCCTCAGAAGGCTCGCAAGTCCCCCGCCGCCTGCTGAGAAGGCCTTCTCCCTCTTACTTCCCCCCCTCGCTCGCCGCCAAGCCGTGGGAGAGCGCCGACGCTGGGATCCGGGCCTTTGCGTCTTGTTGTCGCACCCTCCGCGGACGATTTCGTGTGCACCGCAACGCGTTGGCGTCTCCCGAGGCGTCGTCGATCCTCGACTTGGGATGGGCACGCTGCACACATGCAGTGGTTCGGACCTCAGAGCCGCACCGTAGCGCGCTGGAGCGGGGCCTGCAGGGAGTCCAAGGCTTGGCGCGGGGCAGGTGCGCCTTTCTTGTGCACCGGGCGCCTTCGCCCAGTGTCGGGCCCCAGGACCATGACGGGCCGGTGGGCTCTGGGTCTTCTTCTTTTTTGCGCTGCTGACATTTTCTGCAGCGTCGGATCTCCGGGGTGTTCGAGGGACCGCCGCGGACGGCGACGGAGGGCGCTGGCGCCGTGGAAGACAGCCAAGGGCCAGTGCGCGCGAACGGGGGCCACCCGAGAGCGCCCGGCGCAGCCGTCGAAGAGCGTTGTCGGCGAGAGCCCATGGGAGTGTTTTCGCTTGCTCACGTCTGTCGTTTCTCTTCTCTGCTGTGCCACCCGTCTCCACTCGCACTGGAGAACAATCCTGGAGGCCTCGCGCGGCACGCAGCGGTTGTAGCATCTGGACCGCACGTCCCCTCTGTCAGATCCGGGACGGCGTTCGCGCCGCGATGTTTTGACGTGGATCTCACGCGAATCCGATATAAGTTCGACGCGGATCCGACGTAATCTGGGCCTCAAGTTGCCGCGCGAGGCTTCCAGGATCTTCCCCAGGAGTACTCGTCGGTCGTGGAAAGTATGCTTTTCTGGATTCCCAGGTCTCAATCTGCTCCAGGCGCCGTTCCTGCTTCAAGAGTCCCGATTCGATTCGGCTTGGGATTCCGCTGCGGGATCCAAGTTCTCCATGGAGGCCTACTGGCCCGCGGATGTCGGCCGATCCGACCCTTCCCGAAACCCGGCCGCAGACTTCCGTCGGTCCGCTTCGTGCCGACCTCCGATCCGGCTCGTCGATTCGATCCTGGGCTCTCCTGGGCTGCCACAGGAGATCGCCGGCGCGCGATGCTCGCGAGACGTCGTCGGAGGGCGCCACCGGTCGGCCGGCCGTTCCTCATGGACTTGTTCTCCACCACCACCACCATAAGTTGGAGGGGGAGGGGCTCCTCCTCCTCCTCCTCCTCCTCCTCCTCCTCCTCCTCCTCCTCCCCCTCCTCCTCCTCCTCCTGCTCCTCCTCCTCTCATCATCATCATCATCATCATCATCATCATCATCATCATCATCATCATCATCATCATCATCATCATCATCATCATCATCATCATCCCCTCATCCTCATCCTCATCCTCATCCTCTCCTCATCCTCTCCTCCTCCCTCCTCCTCCTCCTCCTCCTCCTCCTCTCCCTCCTACTCCTCCTCCTCCTCCTCCTCCTCATCCCTCCCCCTCCGACTTCTGGTGGTCGTGGCGGTGGCAAACAAGCCCAGCAGTTTCCCCCCCCCTCGCCTCGGGGGGGGGGGGGCGCCGGCGCGCGGGCGCGCCCGGCGACGGAGAGGCGCCGCGCCTGGGGTCGCGGCGAACGCGTACCTGAAGGCGAAGGCCCGTGGGCGCAGAGCTCCGGGGGCAGCGATGCACGCCGATCGTTGAAGGCATCGCGCCCGAGCGTCTCCCCACCCCCTTCCCCCCCTCGGGCCTCTGTCCTGGCAGGGGCTGACCTCTCGCGGGCCCCTCGCCCCATCCAGAGGCCGCTCCCGCGGCGCATCTGCCGTCCTGGTCAGGCCTCCCCTGGTGCCCAGCGCAGGGGGACAGCGGGAAGAACAACTGCATGAAAGCTGGTCGTTGAAGGTAGGTATGTTTGGATTCCCAGATCCCAATCTCCTTCAGGCGCCTTCCTTCCTGCTTCAAGGACCGGCATGCCTTTGCTGTGTTCTGTTCTTCTCTGGGAGGACCTGGACCCAATCCATTACATCCGCCTTCCTACTTCATGTTTCTACCTACTTCTTCCGACGACGTGTAAACGATAAGGGGGTAGGCAGAGGGGAGGACGCGTCGACTCCCAATCGCCCATTGATCGCCGATAGGGGCCCGAGAGCACCAACCTGCCCAGGAACGTGCGGATGCACTAGCGGAGGCCCATCGACGATCCATCGGCGATGTATCGCCGATTCCAGGTCGACATTTCCCCCCCCATCCCTATCCCCCCCTATCGTTTGCCCCTCAAGAGCATCCCCCGAGAGGAGGTCTTCGGAAGGCGCAGAGGTCCCAGGCCCTCCTGAGGCCTTCTTGGGCCGTCAGCGGGCCCTCTTAGAGGCCTGAGGCCGTCTGGGGGCGATCTTTCGGGCCCGTTGGGCCGTCGGTGAATACGGCCTCTCGAGGCCTTCTTGGAGATCCTGTTGGGGGCTTCCTGGACTGTCTCGGGGCCGTCTTGGGCCGTTCTGGGGTCGTCGTGCGCCGCTTTTGGGGGGCGAGGGCCTTCTGGAAGCCGTCTTGGGGCCATCTTGGGCCTCCCATCACCCTCTTGGGCCTCTCATGGGAGCCTTCGGGGGGCCTCTTCGGCTCTATTTGGGCCTTCTTGGGGCTCTCTTGGGCATTGGGGCGTCTTGTGGGCCTCCTGGGCCGTCTCGCGGCCATGTAGTTTCCTCTTGGGACGCTCCCTCGAAAGCCCGGAAGACTTAATTGGCCCTGTCAAGGAACGTCCAGAAGGCCCTTGGGGCCACGGATCGGGGGGTCCCGTTTAGGAGGGGGTGGTCGCAGGGTTCCGCTCAATAGAACTATATGATAAGGAATATGGGTTGTGCTGCATCACCGCCCCCATGAAAAATCGACAGAGGGCGACGAAGGTCAAGGGTCACCATTAATATTTCTCGTCCTTCTCCTTACTGTCCTTCGTCTCCTCCTCCTCATCATCTGCTTTCGTCTCCTCCTGCTCCTCCTCTTCCCTCGTCTACTCCTTCGCCTCTTGCGTCGCCTCTTTACTCTAGAGGAGTGCCAGAGTGTTGTGGAGTCAGTCTCCCATGATCCTTATCCTCCCCTCTGCTCCTCATTATCATCATCCTTCAAAATCCCTTCTTCCTCCCTGCACTCCTTCTGTGAAGATCTTCACATGCATTCCTTATGTGAGGGCGTTACACCTAGATTCCCTTTTCTGCAGGAGTTACACATCGATGTCCCTAATGTGGGCTATGGGAAACAAGGAAAGGAACAACCATAAAAAGAAACTGAATCAACTAACGACCCACATACTACTCACTCCACCGTTCCACTGCTCTTCACTCCTCCTCCCCCCTCCTCCTCACGCCTCACTCCTCCTCTTTAGGTGGGGCATGAGGAGGGGGAAGGGAAGGCGAGGAGGAAGAAGAAAACGGGGAGGGGGGAACGATGAGAAGGCGGAGGAGGAATGAGGAGTGAAGGGTAAGGAGTGAGGAGTGATAATGATGATGAGGAGGAGGAGGAGGAGCAAGAGAGGGAGGAGGAGGAGGAGGAGGAGGAGGAGGAGGAGGAGGAGGAGGAGGAGGAGGAGGAGGTGTAGGAGGAGTAAGGCGTCCGTCCGCCGTCCGCCTTTCTCCGCAGGAGGCCGGAGGAGGAAGGAGGGCGGCCGCCCCGCCCATCTCGGCACACCCCTCACGCGCCCCGTGGCCCCACAGGGAGCTCCACCGAAGGCCCCAGCGGCGGTGACCGCAGGCGGCCGCTCCACCAAATGTCGGCGCGCCCCTCACGCGCGCTCCGTGGCCCCACGGGGGAGCTGTGCCGCCCCGCTCGGGTTCAGCTCACCATCCACACGCGCTTCGTGGCTCCATAATAAGGAGCTGCACCGGAGGCACCCGCGGCGGTGTCCGCACGCGGAGGCCCCACCCATTTCTCTGCACGCCCCTCACGCGCTTCGTGGTTCCATAATAGGGCGCTCCACCGGAGTCCTCACAGGCGGCGGTCGCATGTGAGCGCCACGCTTGTTTCGGCACATCCTTCACGCGTCCTTGAGGCCCCAGTGGCGACGTTCGCGTGTGGGCATCACGCGCGTTTCGACACACACCCCTCGCACGCTCCGTGACCCCATGTGGAGCTTCGTCTGAGGCCCCAGCGGCGGTGTCCACGTGCGGCCGCCCCACCCATTTCGGCACACCCCTCACGCGCGTCGTGACACCACAGGGAGCTCCACCGCAGGCTCCAGTGGCGGTGTCCACAGGCGGCCGCCCCACCCATTTCGGCGCACCCATCGCAGGCTTCGAGACACATCGGGGGTCCACCGAAGGCGGCCACATGCAGCCGCCCCACCAATGCAGCCGCCCCACCCGTCGAAGGCGATACCCACAAGGATGCAGATGGTTGGGCCCTTCGCCAGGATAGTGTGGTTCCCCCCTGCACCTACAACGACACCGCATGAGCAATCGACATATGTATACATATACATGTATAGTATAGTGTATATACATGTATGTGTGTATGTGTATATCTTTATTTATACATATATATATATATATATATATATATATATATATTATCATACGCACCTCTCCGAGGGAGTAGAGCTCAGAGGCGATTAATGCGCACGTCGTCCGCGATGTGTCTGGCCGTTTCGCTCGGGACATCCTCGAAATTCTGAACATCGGTGGCACCCCTCACGCAGATCGTGACGTCAGGGTCCAAAAACACATGGGAATTTCAACATGTTAACATAAAACCTTCAAAAACACATGGTAATTTCAATAATTTTGACCCCGATTCTCAGAGAATGGCGGTTTCGCATGAAAAATCCTCCCAAAATCGAGCCCCAGACCCCTCCTCGGAGCCTCCTGGGGGCCTCCTGGAACCTCCTGGGGCCTCCTGGGGCTTTCTGGACCTTCTGGTACCCCAGACCCCGCCTCGGAGCCTCCTGGAGTTCTCCTGGGCCTGCTGAGGCCGCCTGGGGCCTCCTGGGGCCTCCTGGGGCTTCAGAACTACATGCACACACAGAGACACAAATCACGCCCAACACATCACACGCTAGACAAACATAACATACACACACAACACCGACAACACACAAAAAGCACGCACCACACAAAGCACACATCACACACACACACAACACTCACAATCCTGGGGCCTCCTGGAGCCTCTTCTGGTATCCAAGTCGGGCCTCCTGAGGCTTCCTGGGGGGCCCTGGTACACACATCGCAAGGTGTGGCAACCCCACTTGCGCTCGAGTGCGACTTCGCTGTTGCATGTCACTCCTGCTTCAAACGCCCCTTCAGCTTGTTGTATGAGCCTGGGCACACACGTGCCACTTGTATATATATATATATATATATAGATGTGTGTACAGATGTGTGCGCAGACATCTTCTGTTTCATAGTGTAGAAATATACACGCACATATAACTATACATATGTGTATATCGGAGGTTGGGGGGAGAGATCGAAGTGGAACGGAGAGCCCCCTACCGGGAAATCGATTTCGGTTTCGTGTTCGTGTGTGCCGTGCGTGCGGGCGAGGCGAAGCTGCGTGGGCGGGCGAGAGGAAAGTCTCCTGTGGCTGAGGCGCGGCCGGACCAAATGATTGTGCCCCGGGCGTCCGGTGGCCCGCGGTGTCCCGCCGGTGTCAAAAAAGTCTCCTGTGGCTGAGGCGCGGCTGGACCAAATGATTGTGCCCCGGGCGTCCGGTGGCCCGCGGTGTCCCGCCGGTGTCCCGATGATGATGATGATGATGATGATGATGATGATGATGATGATGATGATGATGATGATGATGATGATGATGATGATGATGATGATGATGATGGTGATGGTGATGGTGATGGTGATGGTGATGGTGATGGTGATGGTGATGGTGATGGTGATGGTGATGGTGATGGTGATGGTGATGGTGATGGTGATGGTGATGATGATGGAGATGATGGTGATGATGGTGATGATGGTGATGTTGATGTTGATGATGATGATGATGATGATAATGGTGATGATGATGATGATGATGATGATGATGATGATGATGATGATGATGATGATGATGTTGATGTTGATGTTGATGTTGTGGTTGGTGATGTTGATGTTGATGATGATGTTCATTGTGAGACCGATTGTGGGATCGATTGTGAGATCCATTGTGATATCGATAGTGATATCGATAGTGAGATTGAATGTGAGATCGATTGGGAGATCGATAGTTAGATCGATTGTGAGATCGATCGTCAGATCGATTGCGAAATCGATCGTGAGATCGATTGTGTAGACAGCGAAAGTGAGACCGTTAGTGAGCGAGATCGAAAGTGAGACCGTTAGTGAAACCGACAGCGAGACCGATCATGTCGAGTGCGCTTCGCCAACATCGCCACATCACATCACACTCGCGATCACAATCACACTCCTCGCTGGATTCCGCCCCGCAGGCATCGTCAGAACAACAATCACCACTGTTGCCCATTGTTGGCCCCGTCTCCCCCCCAACCTCCTTATCACCCGCAGGGTGGTCGTATAGGTATACATAAGAAAGAGAGCGAGAGAGAGAGAGAGAAGAGAGAGAGAGAGAGAGAGAGCGAGACCCCACATACAAAACAACTGGTTGCGTGGTCCTTGGCGCTGGGCGCCAGGTCGCGCAGCGCCTATGTTGCGCGCGGCGGGCGCGCGCGCAAACCTTCCGCGCGCCCACGGCACCCCGCCACCAGGCAGGAAACACCACCCAGCTCGCCCGCTTGGAAGAACGCTCCCCCCCCCCAAAAAAAACACGTCACCTCGGATTCCGCCGCCACCTCCTCCTCCACCTTCCCCCCCTCCTCCACCTCCTCCTCCTCTTCCACCTCCTCCTCCTCCTCCTCTTCCACCTCCTCCTCCCCCTCCTCCTCGTCCTCCACGTCCTCCTCCACCACCCAGCTCGCCCGTTGGAAGAACGCTTCCCCCTGCCACCCCGGACTCGCCCGCTTTCCAAGGTCGGCACTCATACTCTTCCAGGGGGTACGCTTTGGCAACAGATGTCCGAAGCAAATCCAACCGCGGCGGCAGCAGCACTCGACGCATCGGTCTCCTTTTATGCCTCCGCATCCACCGCCCTCCCCCGTTAGCAATCCCTCGGTCTTTCCTGCTCCACCGAGGAACTGTTAATGGCGGCCCGCTCGCAGACCTGGAAGAAAGGTCAGTGGTCCTCCTCCTCCTCCTCCTCCTCCTCCTCCTCCTCCTCCTCCTCCTCCTCCTCCTCCTCTTTCTCCTCCTCCTCCTCCTCCCGCCGCCAAGCTTCTTTTCCTCGGTTCAAAGGAGGAGGCGGGAGGAGGAGAAGCAAGGGGAGAGGGAGGCAGGAGGATGAGAAGGGAAGCGGACGGTAAAAACAAATACGAAGGATGGAAAGAAAAGCGAGCAGAAGGAGGACAACACAACGAACTGGAGCATAATGCTCTTTCAGTTGCAGCTACACGGACGATTACGACCACGACGACGACGACGACGACGACGACGACGACGACGACGACGACGACGACGACGACGACGACAGCGACGATAACGACGACGACGACGACGACGACGACGACTTCGGGGAGGGGCGCAGACAGCGAAGGGACGGCGCCCACGGCCGCGCTCAGGTGGAGGAGATGGCCAGACTCCAGCCCGTCATGGTCTTCTCGAAGTCGTGGTGCCCCTTCTGCACCAAGGTCCAGGGGCGGCCTGACCGACCCCTACGTAGCAAACCATCCCCTTCCGTGACGTCCCCCTCGCCTCGCCCCACGACGTATGTGCGTTGCCGGAGGGGAGCTCGAAAGGCGAGGATGACGTCAATAAAAGGGGGCAGTTTGCTAGGGGTCGGTTCGGCCGCGCCCGGAAAGGCAAAGGAGGTGTTGGAGGAGCCCCGGCTGCACCGTCTCGGCGCGCAGTCAGCCCGCTTGCGCACAGCAGCCTCTCTAGGCGCGGCGCACGGCAAAGGCGGGCGGCCGAGCGCGTGCATGCCGCGGTGCCCAATCGGGTGCAGTCCGTGGCGTGGCTGACGTGTCTGCACCCCCAGCGCACCAAGGCGAGGACGGGGAGGGTATTCTTTAGATGCACGGACGGCTTCACGAGTGCATGCCCGATTGGAACTAGGCGTGCTCGCAGGCGCAAGCTCACGAAACTCTTGGCAAGCTGCCCAGGGACGAGAATCCTTCTGGCCCCTGGAGAGGAGGGCGGGGGGAAGGAGGCGAAAGGCGCACATTGGAAACTCTCACGACCGCAAAAAGGCGATACTACCACACACACACACATTGAAGCGGAACGTTGGTCTCTCGGGAACGGTTTGGCCTTTCTGTTGGGCCGCTCTTCGGGCTTCTTGGGGGGTTCCAGGTCGATATTCGAGTTGTCTTGGACCACAGTTAATTGCATTCAGGCCGTCTTCCGTACAGTGGAGACCCATGCTAAGAAACACTTTGTTCGCCTCCAGGGTGCCCTGGGTGTCTTCGGCTTCGATGGTTTTGCTTCGGACAGCGCGATGTTCCCACACCAAAAACCAATGATCGCTCTGGGGTCTCAGGGTTGGGTCTCTTGTGAAAGGTTTCCTGTGGTGGGGCCCCTACTGCAATTTATGGGCCATCTTGGAATTACCTTGGGCCGGCTTGGGGGCCATGCTGCCTCACTTGGAAGTTTGGAGCGCTCTGGTCCTGGGGGGCTGCCCCCGGCCCTCCGATGTTGTGAAGCGGATACCAGCGTTCTAGGCGTCCTAGATGGGATCGGATCGGGATCCCGCAAAGGGGGTGCAAGCTCTGGGGGGGGAGTTCGATCGGTTTTTGCACTGGACCGCCCAGAACAGATGCCTCCCAGCCGCAGGATAGTTGCCGATAGGTGGGGCATGCGGGCGGCATCTGTTTGCGGCGGTTCGGTGCACCAGCGGATCGAACGATAGGTGGGGCATGCGGGGGGCATTTGTTTGCGGCGGTTCGGTGCACCAGCCTCATGCCCCCCTCAGGGGGATGGGGATGGGGATGATGAGATGATGAGATGATGAGATGAGGAGATGAGGAGATGAGGAGATGAGGAGGAGGAGGAGGAGGAGGATGAGGATGAGGATGAGGATGAAGATGAGGATGAGGATGAGGATGAGGATGAGGATGAGGACGAGGAGGAGGAGGAGCAGAACGAGGAGGAGGAGGATAATGATGATGGTGATAATGGTGATGATGACGATGATGACGATGATGACGATGATGATGCTGATGATGGTGATGGTGATGGTGATGGTGATGGTGATGGTGATGGTGGTGGTGGTGGTGATGGTGATGATGACGATTGTGATGATGATGATGATGATGATGATGATGATGATGATGATGATGATGATGGTGGTACGAGGAGGAGGAGGAGGAGGAGGAATAAGGAGAATGACAATAATAATCATACGAATAATAAGAGGAAGAATAATGACAAGAAGAAGAAGAAGAGGAGGAAGAGGAGGAGGAGGAGGTGGAGGAGGAGGAGGGGGGGGAAGGAGGAGGAGGAGGAGGAGGAGGAGGAGGAGGCGACGCGGGGCGCTGTATCATCAAAACGAGGACCCGACACCACAGGTTGGTTGGAAAAAACGATCAACCCGCGCATCGTTCCTCTGCGTCGTCTGTCATCTGGGAGGCTTCCCTGCTCCTCCTCCTCCTTCTCCTCCTCCTCCTCCGCCTCCCGAACGAGGCTGCTGGAAAGCGGCCGAGAACCAAGGAAAACGCCCGGAAATTTCGAGCCTCGAGCCCCCCCTCTTCCATGCCAGTCCTTGCTCGGGGAGCGCCGACGTCCGCCGCACGAGGAGAACGGCATACGCTTCGCCGTGCTCGAGCTGGACAACCTGGGAGCGTCCACGGAAGGCCAGTTGCAGGACGCGCTCGAGGCGATCACGGGCGCCAGGCCTGGGCTCGGTGGGGGGAAGGGCCTCGGGGGGGGCCTCGTAGGCTGGTCCGGCTGGAGAGGACCTACCAGCTTGAGTTCTGTCGCGCATGCCTTCTACAGGAGGAGAATTCAAGAGCATAGTCTTGAAAATAGTCTGGGGACGATTGTTCGTGCTTTTTATTTTTACCTAACAGCGAAGACTGATAGGTTTCTAGTAGGGTAAAAAGAGCTCACAGATCACTCCACAGGGGGGTCCGGGCAGGCGTTGGGAGTTGCCGGGCGGCAGGGGGCCCCGCTCGTTTTTCACCAACAGTCACACACTTCGTGCTCTTCGAGTTCCCAGAACTCCATTCCCAGGCTCATTCTGAATAACCGGATGCAACAGTCACACACTTCGTGCTCTTCGAGATCCCAGAACGCCATTCCCGGGCCACCTTTAGAATAACCGGATGCAACAGTCACACACTTCGTGCTCTTCGAGGCTCATTCTCAGTCACACACTTCGTGCTCTTCGAGTCCCAGAATTCCATTCCCGGGCCACATTTTGATGCCCGGAGCCAACTGTAGGCCACTTCGTGCTCTTCGAGTTCCCAGAACTCCATTCCCGGGCCACATTTTGAATGCCCGGAGCCAACTGTAGGCCACTTCGTGCTCTTCGAGTTCCCAGAACTCCATTCCCGGGCCACATTTTGAATGCCCGGAGCCAACTGTAGGCCACTTCGTGCTCTTCGAGTTCCCAGAACTCCATTCCCGGGCCGCATTTTGATGCTGATGCAGAGGCTGAGAATGGTGATGCTGATGCTGAGGCTGAGGCTGAGGCAGGCAGGCTGAGGCTGATGAGGCTGAGGCAGGCTGAGGCTGAGGCCGAGGCTGAAGGCAGGCTGAGGCAGGCTGAAAGGCTGAGGCAGGCTGAGGCTGAGGCAGGCTGAGGCTGAGGCTGAGGCTGAGGCAGGCTGATGCTGAGGCAGGCTGAGGCTGAGGCTGAGGCTGATGCAGGCTGAGGCTGAGGCAGGCTGAGGCTGAGGCCGCTGAAGGCAGGCTGATGCTGAGGCTGCAGGCTGAGGCTGAGGCTGAGGCAGGCTGAGGCTGAGGCAGGCTGAGGCTGAGGCTGAGGCTGAAGGCAGACTGAGGCTGAGGCTGAAGCAGGCTGAGGCTGAGGCTGAGGCAGGCTGAGGCTGAGGCTGAGGCAGGCTGATACTGAGGCAGGCTGAGGCTGTGACTGCGACTGCCGCTGCCACTGCGACTGTCATCGCGAATGCGACTGCGACTGCGAGAACAGCAGAACTCTACAACTGGATTCTCATCTGAATCTTAAGGGGAATGCTTCCATATATGCTTCTACACATCGCTGTTAGGTTGCTTTGCCGGGATAATTTACCTAACAGCGAAGACTGATAGGTTTCTAGTAGGGTAAAAAGAGCTCACAGATCACTCCACAGGGGGGTCCGGGCAGGCGTTGGGAGTTGCCGGGCGGCAGGGGGCCCCGCTCGTTTTTCACCAACAGTCACACACTTCGTGCTCTTCGAGTTCCCAGAACTCCATTCCCAGGCTCATTCTGAATAACCGGATGCAACAGTCACACACTTCGTGCTCTTCGAGATCCCAGAACGCCATTCCCGGGCCACCTTTAGAATAACCGGATGCAACAGTCACACACTTCGTGCTCTTCGAGTTCCCAGAACTCCATTCCCGGGCCACATTCTGGAGGGCCGGATGCAACAGTCACACACTTCGTGCTCTTCGAGTTCCCAGAACTCCATTCCCGGGCCACATTTTTGATGCCCGGAGCCAACTGTAGGCCACTTCGTGCTCTTCGATTTCCCAGAACTCCATTCCCGGGCCACATTTTGAATGCCCGGAGCCAACAGTAGGCCACTTCGTGCTCTTCGAGTGCCCAGAACTCAATTCCTGGGCCACATTTTGAATGCCCGGAGCCAACTGTAGGCCACTTCGTGCTCTTCGAGTTCCCAGAACTCCATTCCTGGGCCGCATTTTGATGTTGATGCAGAGGCTGAGAATGGTGGCTGATGCTGCTGAGGCTGAGGCAGGCAGGCAGGCTGAGGCTGAGGCAGGCTGAGGCTGAGGCTGAGGCTGAGGCTGAAGGCTGAGGCTGAGGCAGGCTGAGGCTGAGGCAGGCTGAGGCAGGCTGAGGCTGAGGCTGAGGCTGAGGCTGAGGCAGGCTGATGCTGAGGCAGGCTGAGGCTGAGGCTGAGGCTGAAGGCAGACTGAGGCTGAGGCAGGCTGAGGCAGACGCTGAGGCAGGCTGATGCTGAGGCAGGCTGAGGCTGAGGCTGAGGCTGAGGCTGAGGCGGATGCAGGCTGATGCTGAGGCAGGCTGAGGCACAGAGGCTGAGGCTGAAGGCAGACTGAGGCTGAGGCTGAAGCAGGCTGAGGCTGAGGCTGAGGCAGGCTGAGGCTGAGGCTGAGGCAGGCTGATACTGAGGCAGGCTGAGGCTGTGACTGCGACTGCCGCTGCCACTGCGGCTGTCATCGCGAATGCGACTGCGACTGCGAGAACAGCAGAACTCTACAACTGGATTCTCATCTGAATCTTAAGGGGAATGCTTCCATATATGCTTCTACACATCGCTGTTAGGTTGCTTTGCCGGGATAATTTCATTTTTTGTGACCATGTTTCAGTGTTTTTCCAACATCCGCCTATAAGAGGACATGACCGACCTAAAGCTTCAAACATTTCCCCATCCTTGTGTCTGGCATCACCTTACCTCGCTGCCGATCTCAGGGACAGGGACAGGTCGAGTCTGGTTAAGGACAGGATGGCAGAGCAGGCAGCGAAATCGCCGAAGCTCGGACCCTGAGATCGATCTGGGCGCTGCAATTTTTTCACACCGGGCGTGCTCGCCCAGTTTCGGGCCCCGGGACTTTGCGGTTCCATCCGGCTCGAGACATGTCCCAGACAGATTGGGTCCAGCGCGTCGGTCGCGATTGGTCGCGAAATTACGACATCCAGAGGAAGATGGAGGAGGATTATTTAATCGCTTCGCTCATTCCGCCGGCCCATATTGTCGCACCGTTGTGGGCTAGCCGAGTTTTGGGGCCTCTTGGGGGCCGTTTTTGGGCCTCTTGGGGCCTCTTTTGGGCCTCTTGGGCGCCTCTTGGGGCGTCTTGGGGGCCTCTTGGGGGCCTCTTGGGGCCTTTTTGGGGCCTCCTGGGCGCCTTCTGGGGCGGAGGGCTCGATTTTTCAGTTCTCGGTTCTCCTCTTGAGCCCCTCTTGGGCCCGTCTTGGGGCCTCTTGGTCCGTCTTGGGCGGCACTTGGGCCGTCTTGGGGGCCCTCCTGGGCCGTTCCGGGGCCGTCTTGGGAGCCTCGTGGGCCGTCTTGGAGCGGTCTTGGGGGCCTCTTGGGCCGTCTTGGAGCGTCCGGAAGCCGAAAAAGCCAGAACGCAAAAAACATATAAAAAAACAATGAAAATCAACGATTTTGGCCTCTTGGGGCCCTCTTCGGAGGCCTCTTGGAAGGCCCTTGGGGCGTCTTGGAGGCCTCTTGGGCTGTCTTGGGGCCCTGTTGGGCGTCTTCGGGCGATCTTTGGCCGTCTCGGGGCCCTCTTGGACCGTCTTGGAGGCTTCTTGGGGACCTCTTGGCCCGTCCTGGGGCCCTGTAACAGGGCTCCGGCATCTCTGGCCCGACCTTGCCGGGACCTTGCCGGGGACTTGCCGGGACCTTGCCGGGGACTTGCCGGGATCTTGCCGGGGACTTGCCGGGACCTTGCCGGGGTACTTTTCGTCCGGGGACCCCCAGGGGCCGCCCCGCGCGCGCGAACTAGAAATACTGTTAACCAGGTACCGGAGATCTTAGCACGCCCTGGCCCGTTGGGCCGGCGAATTTCGCGGGTTATTGGGGAGGCCTTGCGGCCGGTGCCTGTGCCGCCGATCCTGAACGACGACGACGACGGCGACAACCATGACGACGACGACCACGACGACGACGACGACGACGACGACGACGACCCGGGATTGTTTCGTGGGCTATCTCGTGGTCTGCACTGGAGGCGTTTAGTCAGAGGGGCCCGAGCGGGAGGGGTGCCCTGGCCGTGCTTCTCGATCTCCTCAAGAGAAAAAGCGCCGTGCGCTGCCTGGGTCGAGAGGGTCCCCTGAAATCCTGGCGTTGCAAGTTTTTCACACCGGGCGGTTTCGCTCGATGTTGGGCCCTGGGGCCCTCAGAGATCGATCTGGCTCGGGAAGTGGTGCAGAAAGATGGGGTCTGAGGCTCCAGTCGTGTTTTGTTGTGATGTTGCAAGTTTTGTTGCAACGTCGGACCTCAGGGTCGCGCGGGGGGGCTTGGCATCGCTCGGGCGTGTGCATATTTTGCCCCGGCGAAGACTGTCGAGGGGCACTCTTGCCCACCCTGCGAGCAAAAATCGCGCACGAAAGCCAACAAATGCACAGGGAATGGACGTCCGAGCGATGGCGAGGGGGGCGAGAATGGAAGAGGGATCGCGGATGAGGCAGGGGTCCTGGTCTCCCGGCTGGGGGCCAGAGCAGATGGGGTCGGATTGTTCCAGAAGCCCGGTTGGGTAGGTTGGGTAAGATTTCCGTGGCTTCGGACGCCCAGAAGACCGAAGAGCCGAGCATCAAGTAATCTTCAAAAGCCTGAGGAAATCAAGGTCTGTTGCGTTTCGAGTGGTTCTTGGGGGTGTTCCTTGGGAGGGTCGTGCAGCATCGCTGGCGCATCGGCGAAGCGGCACGATCTTGAGCCCGGCGCCGTCCAGCCCGACGTCGCCGATGCATCGGCGATGCGGTGCGACCGTCCGACCGCGTCAGTTCTGGCCCTACACCTTATGCGATGCTTAAGAAAACCTAAGTTTTCGGCCAGAGTCTCGATTATTCTTAATGTTTCAATGTAAATCCCAAGATTTTGATAGAAGTTCTGGGTTTTATTCAATTTCTGAGACTCTGAATTTCTTAACCCATGATTTCTTAAGCATTTCGCAGGGTGTATGGGCTGGGCTGTTCATGGCATAAGTGTGCGGCACAGAGGCTGTGTGAGACTCGCTCGAAGAAGGGTTCGTGAAGAGGTGAGCCCAGGCAGCTAAGCCGCGTGAGCCTGCTCAGCACATGCCATTTCGCGTCCTCCTCCTCCTCCTGTGCATTGTTTGATTGCTTGTCGCCGGTCGGGTGGGGGAGGGGGTGTATGTTATTCGCTTTCCACAAGAAACAGGAACAAACCGACCCCGATGGGGAAGACGGGGATTGGAAGAGGGACCGTCCTAAACCTCCTTCGCCCGAAAGAGCTGGTGGACACCTCCTTCTCCTCCTCCTCCTCCTCCTCCTCCTCCTCCTCCTCCTCCTCCTCCTTTCAAGTATGCTCATCCTCCCCCTCGCACATCCCCCCCTGCGTCTTCCTCCCTCCCCCTCCTGATATCGGCCCCTCGGACTTCTCCTGGAGCGTGTTCTGGTTAAGATTTCGAAGCGGATGCAGCAGGTAAGGTTAGGTGGAGGTGGAGAAGGAGCATAAGAATCAGGAAGGTGAGCAGGAGAGGGACGACGACGAGGAAATCGAAGATGAGGAGGACGACGACGACGATGACGATGTGGAGCAAAGAAGAGGAGAGCGGGAAAAGGAGAACGAAAGGGCGACGATGGTAGCGAGGATGGGAGGATACGCAGGAGGACTCCCAACGTAGAACGACGTTGCGTGGTCATGGGATCCCGCTCCTCCTGCGCCGAGTTCTCCTTTTCCTTTCCCTCCCCCTCCCTCTCCTCCTCGTCCTCCTATCCCCGCGGAGAGACAAGCGAGGAGGGCGGAGGAGGAGGAGTTTGTCCGTCGTTGTCTGCTTCCGGGGGCCCTTCCCGGGCCCCAGGGCCGTCAGTAAACGACTCGTGTTGAAAATGCGAGCAGCAGGCAAGCTGAGGTCAAGGACTCGTTTCTCTCAGGGCCCATGTCCTTCACGCCAACCTGAAAAGCAGGGAAGAATCGGGGCCGCCGTCTTCGAGACCCGCCCAGACCCGTCCACGGCGCCCCGTCGTGCAAGTCAACAGTTGTCGCGGTGGGAGGGCTCGTTGTGCTCGCCCGAGCAATTGGCCGTGTCCTCTTCCACCTTCTCAACCTCCGGCCATGTTGTGATCCTCGGGCCATGTTGCGCGTTTCACTCCTGCCTGATGTGCGAAACCAGCGCGGACTTCACTGCTGGCAGGGAAGCCCGCGGCCCCCCCGTGATCAGCGCCGGACAGCGCAGTGCCGCAGGAGAGGGAAGCAGAGACGTCAAGGGGCAGCCAAGTGATCGTTTTCTTATTCATTGTTTTGCCGATCGGCGCGGGCCCTCGCACCCCCCCCTCTCACCATGGAGTAGCTCTTGGCTGTTTTTGGGCGACCGTTTCGAGCAGGTGGAGCCTCCCCCTCAGGACGCACTGCTGCAAACAGCGGCGTGAAGCAGAGGTCCGGAGCCAGACCCCCACCCCCTCCCGCCCAAAGTCGAAACGCCGAATAAGAAAGCGTACACCAGGGGATCTTGGAATCGGGAGGGCATCAGGGGCAACGTTAGGGGGGGCCATGGGCTCATGGGGGGGGGGGGGGCGCGTCGACCCCCAATCGCCTCGGGATCGCCGATACAGTGGAGACCCATGCCAAGAAACACCCTGCCTGCTTCCAGGGTGCCCTGGGCTTCTTGGGCTTCGATGCTCTTGCGATGGGCAGCGTGACGTTCCCGCACCAAGCGTCCGTGGACGTCTTGGGGTCTCAGGGCTTGGCTTCTTGTGGTCGGGCCCCTGCCGTAAGGGGCCCGATGGCCCACGCCGCTGAGGAGCGTGCGGATTCGCCATCGAGAGAGCCCCCTGCCGATCGATCGGCGAGAGGCACATTGGGTGGATAGGCCTCCGGGGGGCCGCGCCGACCCCCACTCGCCCACTCCTCTCCGATGGGGGGGCCGACGGCCCGCCTCGCCCAGAGGAGCGTGCGGATTGGCCGCACGGGGCCCCTCGCCGACCTGCCGGTCGACGTGCCCCCCCCTTCGAGCCGGTCTCCCCCCCCCCCCAGAACGTGGCCCCTCGAGTTCCGTTGGGCGTTGCGTAATGGGGGGATCGTAAATGGGGGGGCGGCGAGTGTGGTCCGAAAAGGTACCCAAATGGTACCTAAACGAGCCCCCTGGGGCTCTGGAGGGGCCCGAAAGGGGCACGAAAGAGGACCTTTTCTGACCCCCCCATTTGTGACCCCCCCATTAAGCCACGCCCAATTCCGGGCACGGGGCCGGGTGGACAGATCCGTGCCTGGCAGTCGGGCCCCGGTCGGGAGGTCGACTCTGCAGAGCTCGCGGTGCCCCTGCGTGCGCCCCACTGCGCGTCATGCGCGCTCTTCATGTCTGGGGCCCGGGCTTGCACTCGGGAGGGACTCCTGTGTCTTCTCGGGCGCCCTCTGCTGTGCAGGCGTGTCGCAGGGAGACGCAGGGCCGCCGCAGGACTGTCCCGCGCGTCTTCGTCGGCGGCGTGTGCGTGGGGGGCGGCACGGACTGCCAGCTGATGGCCGCCAGCGGGGCGCTCCAGAAGATGGCCGCGGCGGCGGCAGACAAGCACACCAAGGACCTCAAGGGCGAGGGCGAGTTCCAGTTCGATAAGGACTGGCAGTCGGAGCTGGACTCGACCGCCTTCCGCATCCTGCGGCAGCGCGGCACGGAGCCGCCTGGGTCTCACCCGTACGACAAGATGCTGCCCGAGAAGGGCCACTTCTCGTGCGCCGGCTGTCGTGGGCGGGAAGCATATCCGCATCCGTGCCTTCGCGGGCAAGGGGCCCCTGGGCCGCGACATGCCGCGGATGCGGGGCGCCTTCTCGCAGAGGCCCCTCGCGGAGCGTAGCCGCGCTGCCGCGTATCCGCGGGGTCGCGCCCCGGGGTCCAGCCCGCGAGGGCGTGGATACGTTGGAGACCCATGCCAAGAAGCACGTTGCTTGCCTCCAGGGTGCCCTGGGTTTCTTGGGTGTCGATGGTTTTGCTACGGAAAGCGCGACGCTCCCACACCTGAAATCAATGGACGTCCTGGACTCGCAGGGTTGGGTTTCTTACGGAAGGTTCCTTGTGGTCGAGCTCCCAGTGTATGGTCGGGTGTTGCTGGAGGTGCCCCTGGCCCAAGGTGCTCCCAGGAGCCCCCCACGGCCTCCAGAGCGCCCCATCCCGAGGCCCAGGGGGCCCCGGGGGGACTCCCAAAGTGGAGCGAGAAGCTGAGGGCATCCTGGGCCAGGGGCACCCTTTAGCAGCACCCGGTGTGGATACGTTCTCCACCGACACTACCATAGGTGGGAGAGGGAGGAGGCGGAAGAGGAGGAGGAGGAGGAGGAGGAGGAGGAGGAGGCGAAGGACATCCCCATCATCTCTTCTCCCGCGTCCTACCTTTGGTAGTGATGGTGGCAGTTTGGCCCATCCCTTCCTCCTCCTCCTCCTCCTCCTCCTCCTCCTCCTCCTCCTCCTCCTCCTCCTCCTCCTCCTTTTTCTCCCTCATGCGCCCGCCGCTCGCAAGGCTGCGGCTTCCCGCTCTACTCCGCCTCCTCCAAGTTCGCGTCCAGCTGCGGCTGGCCGGTCTTCAACAAGGCCTGGGCGTGGGGGAGGGCGCACGCGGCCCCCTTGTGGAGGCCGTCCGTCAAGCAGTGACGAAGCGTTCTGGCTCGCCTTCAGGCCCACCGAAGAATGTTCGAAGACCTGGTCTGCACCAGGTGGGCGAGGAGGAGGAGGAGAAGGAGGAGGAGGAGGAGGAGGAGGAGGAGGAGGACCCCAGGAGGAGGTGAGGGAGGAGGTAGAGGAGGTAGAGGAGGTAGAGGAGGGTGAGGAGGAGGGCGGCCGCCGGCGCCGCATTCTGGAGGGCGCCCCCCGGCGCCGCATTCAGGAGGGCCTCGGGTGCCGGCTGCATTCGTGTGTGGCCGATTGGGAGGTCTGCCGTTCCGTATTGGCAGAGGCCACAACTCTGTTGTCCCGCAGGTCAGCTCCCGCAAGGTTCCTTCCAGAAGTACCGACATTTCTGGCTGAGACTGTCTTGTGTTAACACCTCGGGCTCATGTTAAGGAACACTGCTTTTGCTCTTAGAACACACTTGAGGGTTCTAAGGAACACTTCGTGGTAGGACTACAGGAATGCCAGGGCGGTCGGTCCCTGCTCCAGTCTGGGGAGGCCTCCCCTGGCCTTCCAGGGTGCTAAGAAGGAGCCCTCCAGACCTAAGATCGGTGGCGCGCCCAGGGGGGAAGCGGTGGTTTGGTGGGGTGGTGACTTCCGATCGTCCCGATCTTCGCGATGCTGCAATTTGTTCCGCCCAGCGCCCAGACCTGCGCGCAGATGGCCTCCCAGAGATGGTTCCAGGCTGTCCCCCCACCCAGATCACCCGATACCGCGGCGAGCCCATGGGGGGAAGACAGAGGGGGCGGGCCTGCTCAGAAGGCTCGCAAGGCCCCCAGCCTCCTGAGAAGTGCTCGGAGCCCTCCCCGAAGACACGGAACACGTCTCAGGAGGCCGGATGGCGTCGGAGATGCCCCGCCGCCTTAAAGAAGGCCTTCTCCTTCCGACTTTCCCACCGCGCTCGCCGCCGACTGTAGACCTTTCTGAGCTGCCTAGCTGGACGTCGCTGTTTTCTTAACCCTCCTGGAAGGTCAGGGCCCACACCCCGGAACCGCGCGGGGCGCGCGGAGCGCCGGGCGGCGCCGGGGCGTTTGTCTGGGCCCAGGGCCGCTCGCTGGGGTCCATGTCGATCCGTCTTATCCGAGTCGATATCGGCTCTGGCCAGCCCGGCACGATTCGATTCCGATGGTGCGGTGGTTGCAAGATGGTCCTGAGGGCTGGGGTCCTGAGGGTAGGAATGGGCCCAAGGGTGGGTTTGCGTTGCTTGGGGCACCCCGTCCTGAGGACCCCATCCTGCAGGGCTCCACCTCTGGACCACCGAATGGTCCGACCATCCGATGCGGCCCGAAGCGTGCATGGCGCTGTTGTGCATTCTGGTGCAGCCGATCCGATTCGATCTCGATGCCGTGCCGATGCAGCCCGATCCGAGGCACATGTCGTTTCGACCCGAGTTACCGAGTCGATGCTGACTGATCCTGCGCTGTGGGGTGTGCTGCCCGAATTTGTGGGTGCCAGATTTTTCTGGTCGCGACCGACGAGATCGATCGCTACCGAGTTTGCTTCAGATTCCGGCATCGGTCGCGACCGATTTGCTTCAAGATTGGTCGCGACTGCGACCGATTTGGAGTGCAGATCGGTCGCTACCGATCGCGACCGAAAAAGTCTGGAATCCAATCGGCGGCGAGCCCGGGGGGAAGTGAGAGGGGGCAGGCCTTCTCAGAAGGCGGCGGGGCTTATCAGAAGCCCTCAGGCCTTCTGAGAGGGCACCTCTGTCTCCGGAGAAGGCTACGAGCACTTCTCAGGAGGCCGGGGGCCTTCCGAGCCGTTCGAGAAAGCCCGCCCCGTCTGACTTCCCCCCGTGGGCTCGACGCGATATCGAGTGATCTGGGTGGGGGAGAACCATCTCTGGGAGGCCATCTGCGCGCAGGTCTGGGCGCTGGCCAGCACAAATTACAGCATCGCGAAGATCGGGACGATCGGAATTCACCGCCCACCAAACCACCCCAACCCAACCCGAAGGCCCCGATTTACCCTACATGTCCAGTTGGGGGGGTTGGAGAACATAAAAAACACACACATGAAGACCGTACCCCCCCCAACCCGAAATTCGGGCGAAATTCGTGTCTTCGGTTGGGTTGGAGTGGTCTGGTAGGTAGTCAAGAACGAGTACGCAAAGACGAAGGACGATGACCAACAGCAGTTCCTGCCCATGTTCTCAATCGAACATGATTCGCTGTCGGTGCTGCCGCACTCGTCGTCATGCGAGACAGAGGACCGCCTGCCCAACAGCCGCCGCACACGGCGTTCAACAGAATGTGCTGCTGGGTATCGTACCGAGTTTTCCGCACCCATGTCGGGCGCGCCGGATTGCAAAAAAACCCGGGGTTTTGCAACAAAAAAAACGGATTGCAAAAAAACCCTGGGTTTTGCAATCCTGGGTTTTTTGGCAATCCTTCGGGTTTTTTTGCAATCCGGTTTTTTTTTGCAATCCTTCGGAAAAACTCACGGCCGGAGCCCCCACCACTCTGCGGAAGGTTTCTCGGGCCGTGTCGAGCCGTGGTGGCACGGTCGGCCCGCACAGGTCGCACAGCAAGGGTGAGCACTTGTCTCCGGCTGCCCCGGCATCCTTCCCCTGCGGCCGATCCTCGGCCTCTCTCGCTGGCCGCGCCCCACCCGCAGAGTGTCGGCATGGCCTTCCAAAGCCCTTGGATTAAGTTGGGCCTGTCCCCCTACAGGGGGATTTTCGACGAAAAGTAAAAAAATACCAAAAAAATGATCCAAGAATAGTCCAAAAATAGTCTGGGGACTATTTTGGGGGTATTTTTTGACCTTGTTGGTTCATTTTGGGTTTTCTTTTTTTTCGTCGGAAATCCCCCTGTAGGGGGACGGGCCCGACTTAACCCTTGGATCAAGGGCGCCCTCGAGGGCGCGAAGTTATTCGCGCGTCGCGGTCCTCGTTCCTTCTCCCCCTCCTCCTCGTCCGCCTTTTCTCCCTTTGGGGGGGCGTCGCGAGAGCGCGAAGTTACTCGCGCTTCGCGGAGCGCGAAGCGCGAAGTTGGGAGCCCTAGTTGGATCCTTCGGACGGGGCTGGGACGAGGATGGATCCGTGTCAGAGCGTTCCGGATCGCTCGCAGAGCGTTCCGGAACGCTCCGAGAAGGCCCCGCGGCGCCCGAGGCATCTTCCAGATCCGCCGCATCGCAGAGGTTCCCCCTCCTCCTCCTCCTCCTCCTCCTCCTCCTCCTCCTCCTCCTCCTCCTCCTCCTCCTCCTCCTCCTCCCTCCGCCTCCTCCTCCTCCGCCTCCTCCCTGATCCTCCCCCCTCCCCCTCCTCCTCCTCCTCCTCCTCCTCCTCCTCCTCCTCCTGCTGCTCCTCCTCCTCCTCCTGCTGCTCCTCCTCCTCATCCTCCTCTCCTCCTCCTCCTCCTCTCCTGCTCTCCTCCTCCTTCTCCTCCTCCTCCTCCTCCTCCTCCTCCTCCTCCTCCTCCTGCTGCTCCTCCCTCCTCCCCTCCTGCTGCTCCTCCTCCTCCTCCTCCTTCCTCCTCCTCCTCCTCCTCCTCCTCCTCCTGCTCCTGCTCCTCCTCCTGCTGCTCCTCCTCCTCCTCCTGCTCCTCCTCCTCCTCCTCCTCCTCCTCCTCCTTCTCCTGCTTCCGCGGGAGGCCTCGCCGGCCTGCTCGGGGGCAGCCGCTGGCCGCCCAGAGCCGGGCCTTCCCTCGACGAGGGCGCCCCCGGCCCAAACGACGCGAAGATCGGGGCAAAGTCGGATCTTCGGTGGGCCCATCGGCGAGCCCGGACGCTCCGCCGCTCGGTTCGATCCAGACCCAGGTAAAACGACGCGAAGATCGGAACAAAATCGGATCGGGATAACTCGAGATCTCTGAGAATCGGCGGGTTTGGAGGATGTGTTGGGCGCCGCGGCCGCTCCAGAGCGTTCCGGAACGCTCTGAGAGCGCTCCGGAACGCTCTGGAGCGATGTATCCCGATCCTAGCCCCGTTTTACCGGCCCATCTGCACGAACGACATGGGCACGGCAAGAATGGGTTCAATGCTCAGCAGAAGTTCCTGTTCATTCTGCACAGGGCTCGCTGTCCGCGCCGCCGCGGCCTGTGTCCATTTGAGGCAGAAGGCCGCCTGCCCAACAGCGGCCGCTGTTGGTTTGGGACAACATTCGTTGTTGGGCATTGCATTGTACCCATTTTTTCCGTATCCATTTCGGGCGTCCGGAGACCAGGCGGCTTGAGTCGGGCCTCTCCCTGTAGGGGGACATGCCCGACCCTAGACCAGGCCCTGACCCAGACCCCCTCCGAGTCCGGAAGAAATCACGACGCGTGGCGACTCGTTGTGTTCGGGCCCCGGGGGGCCCTCACCGGGCTTCGGGACCGCCAGCAGAACGACTCAGGACTCTGAGGGGTCCACGTTGAGAAGAGATCATGACGTCGGGGGTCTGGGGAAGGGGCCCCACCGCAGCGTCTCCGTCATCGTCGATGCTCCACGGGCCCGAGTCTGGGCCCAGATCTTGTTGGATGTCCAAGAGATCCGACGCATTGAACAAAAACAAGGCGGAGATTTGTTTTACAGTTTTCCGCCGTCAGAGGCTCCCAGCCGGCCGGGTGGCCGCCAAAAACGATCCTGGATGAAAAGCCGGGTCGAATTTTGCGGGGACCGCGAGCGGAAGCAATCGAGACATCGGGATTGGTGGTCGTTTTCTTGTTCACTGGTGTGCCGACCGGCGCAGGCCCTCGTGCCCCCCCCCTCGTGGAGCAGATCTTGGCTGTTTGGGGCGCCCGTCTCGAGCAGGCGGAGTCTCTCCCCCCCATGGGACGCACTGTTGCAAGCAGTCGCGTGAAGCAGAGGTCCGGAGCCAGACCCCCTCCCTCCCCCCCCTTCCGCCGTTGCGATGCGCCTTGAGCGCCTTCCGACGATCTGGGGGTGGTATGGGTTCGGTATGGGTATGGTCGGGTGGGGCATTTACACCTTGGCGCCCGT